CCAGCAAGTTGGACAACCTAGAAGTGGATAAATTCCTAGAAACATATATAGCTTATCAAGTGAATCATAATAAAATAGAAAATCTGAACCAGAAAGGAGATTGAATCAGTAGTTAAAAATCTCTCATCAAGCAAAAATTCAGGACCAGATCGCTTCACTGGTAAATTTTACAAAGCATTAAAAAATGAATTAATACCAATCCTTCTCAAACTCTTCAACAACAACAACAACAACAACAACAACAACAAATAGAAGACAGGAAACTTCCAAACACATTTTATGAGGCCAGCATTAGGCCAACCCTAATACCAAAACCAGACAAGGATACTACAAACAAAATTATAGGCCACTATGAACATAGATGCAAAAGTCCTCAACAAAATATTAGCAAAGTGAATTTCAACAATACATTAAAAGGATCTTACACCATGAGCAAGTGGGATTTATTCCAGTGATGCAAGGATGGTTCAACATCTGCATATCAGTCAGTGTAATACACCACATTGACATAAGGATAAAAATCATGTGATCTTTAAAAGAGTCCCACACTAGTGACTATGAGTGAACAAGAACATTTTCCCTCAGTGGAGGAGTTATCCTGTACAAGTGATGCTGACCAGCATTTTGAAAACAAGAATAGACAGAACATGAATAACCTGTTTCATTGGAATCACTACATAACTTTTAGTCTGAGTGACAAACCAGGCTTAGGGTGACTCTCAGCAAAATGGTTTTAAAGCTTGTCTCCATTTTCACCCTCTGGTTATCTCTCCCCTGGGTTTAAAAAAAGTGAAATACTTATATTACTTGAACTCCTCACAAGGTCTCTTGACACCAGAATGTTACGCTAAGCAGGATTCCTCTGACACTCAAAAATGCTTTTTTAATACAATGTTTGTGCTATTTCCAGATTTTCCTTATTCATAAAGCATTCCAACATAGAGGAAATAGTACCAGGACTATTGCATTTTATTACAAAATGCAAGATGTCTTTGAAGGGCCCCAAATGCATAGAGTGAAGCCACAAAATACAGGTTATATGTTGGTTTTTACATAAAGCCAACAATTCATTGAAGCCTCCAAAAGCCATAGTTGTTGCCAAAGTAATTCACTAGAAATGTTTGGGGAAGAATAGTGTAAACAAAGCCCTGAATAAAGAGATGTTGTCCAATCCAAACTGGGTGTTCATGAGACTCTGCCACATCCCCCTGGACCACTGAAGCTGAAGGTGGAGGAGAGTGGGGCTCATAGAAGCAGGTGGTTCACTGAAGTCTTTGCTGCTGAGCACCTGCAGCCCAGCTCGTCCATCCCTTCTTCATAGTTCCCAGTGGGAAGGCCACCACTGCTTAGTTTACATTTATTCATATAATAAAATAGCCCCAGCTGGAAAGTATGCTTTGACAGCACACTTCCTCTGATGGTGTTATGTTGTTATATTCCACAGCCACTTACATACTTATTGTGGTTGGTAGAACAATGAGCTCTCAAAAGCATATAACCTCTAAGCCCTAGAACTTGTGATACATGATGTTACAAAAGGACTTTGCAGAGATGATTAAGGATCTTGAGATGGAGAGATGATCCTGGATTACCCAGGTGGGTCCTGTGTGATCACAAGGGAGAAGAGAGGGAAGCAGGAGGGGTCAGAGAAGGAGATTTGACAATGGGAACAGAGGTTGGAGAGATGGGATTGCTGGCCTGGAAGGTGGAAGGGAGGCATGAGCCAAGGAATATGGACAGACTCTAGAAGTTAGAAAAGGCAGGAAAACAGATTTTCTTCTATAGTCTCCACAAGGAACACAACTGTGTTAAAACTTTGGAGTCCTCTAGAACTGTAAGATAATAAATTTGTGTTGCTTGAAATCACTAGGTTTGTGGTAATTTGTTACAGCAGCCATAGGAAATGAACATAACTGTAGATGTTTACATTTTCTGCCTTAATATTTTGCCTTTTGTGAGTTAACTTTATTGCTCACAGAGTTAGAGTGGGGCCTGTTTTCCTACTCTTGATTCTGGGTTGGCCATATGATTTGCTCTGGCCAAAAGAATGAGCTAGAAGTGATGGTGTGCCAGTTCTGGGTGTAGGCCTGAAGGAACTTTGTGTGTCTGCTCACTATTGCACTTCTGTCATTGCCATGATGAAGGCAGGCATAGGCTAGATGTTGGTTTGAGGACAAGGATGGGGGACATTGGAACACAGCAACCCCAATTAAAGTATCCCAACAGCCATAGGCCCCATCTAAATCATAGCCAACTGAGCCCAACTTAGGTCATCTGGGATCCTTAGTGACCTCCGAACTATAATAATAAATTGTCACTTTAAGCCATTGAATTTTGGGATGGTTTGTTACATAGCAGTACCTAAGTGATACAGTGATGGCAACTTGGAAAGCAAAGCGGTTTTTTTTGTTTTGTTTTGTTTTGTTTTTGTTTTACAATCTCACTGTAATGTTTGCTTCTGTTGAGTGCATGGCCCAGGGCATAAAAATTTAGGAAGTTCATTTAGGCTGGTCACAATCATACGGTCTCATCTTACACATGCAATAACCAGGAACAGAGCAATCAGAGGCTTCTCCACTCACCTGCCCTCTCCCTCCCTCCACCCCCAGAAAGAACTCACATTGTAGCAGTCTGTAGATCTCCTTTTTATTAGTTTATTGAAACAGTAAAATATAATAAGTTATATATACAGGATGAGACAAAACTATTAACAATTAAGACTTCACTGGCTAAGGCCCACAGCTCCAGCTTAGGGTGTTTCCTAAAAGTTTTTAAGTATAGCAAAATAATGAATGTCTCCATACAAAATGTCAGGGTGGAAGTCCCTGTTCTGGTCAGTGATAATCATTATGGTCGCATTGATTTGAATTCCACAATGTAGGCTAAAGCTCATCAGAATAGACTATTCTTGGATTTATGTCCAAATAAGTAAATGACAAAGGAATGTTTAGCTCTATAAGGACTAACTTTCTAAAAATGGCAGGTTGAGAATCACTGAAACATGGCATGATGCTGGCTAGACATCTGGCCCCAGCATTGTAAGTGTGAAATGAGGCAAAGCTCTGGGTCCAGGAACAGCCGCCTCTGCTTCTTCACTGAAAATATTGTTCTTGGGAAACTGCAAGCTGTCTCCCTGGAACAGCATTCTCATCACATGTGACATTTGCAGCCTGATTCAGGGGAACAATCTCATCATCATCATCACAAAGCAGGAGAAAGGGGTGCCATAGGATTTCAAAGAGGGATTAAAAGGATAATTAAGTTTTGCCATGGAGTACTTAGCTTGTAGGATATAGCAAATAGGTTCTGAAAAACAGCAAAGAGACACAGAAAATGATGATATTAAATATTCAGGACCTAATTATGATCCTATCACAGTATGTTCTACATTCATTGGTGGGAAATTGCTTGTTGGCTCTAAATGTATGACTGATTTCCTCTCCCCAAAGCATTTGCTCAGTCATGTGACTTATAATCTTAAAAACATCGCTTTGTAAGTCAGAGACTGGTTTTAATTTGGTAATAACTATAGTTGGATCTGTCATTAGGAAGCTCAGCAGTGAACTCTAAATTAAACCCCTGGTATGATCACTACCCCAGCTCCCATGTTCTTGGCAACTGCAGGTGTAGTAAGAGATTTTGCCAAGAACAATGCCAGTTTATTACTTTACCTCTAAGTGTATGTCAAACAATTATAGTTACTCCGAGTTTTTCTGCTTCTAGTCTCATCTTGATGACTCATCTGTGTTCACTTCAATGTGCACCTTGAAGGCCTGGCATTTCCTGAAGTCCACTTTCCTGTTGCCCACCTAAACCTTACTTTTCCTGATTACAGAATCACAGACTAATCTCTCTTTTGCAAAAGAGAAACTGAAGCCCAAGAGGGAGAAGAGAATGGCCCAAGCTGGCACAACTAGAATCAGGTCCTTGGATTTAAAGCCCAGGGCATGCCTGTGTTGTGAGGCTCCATTTTCCTTGACTGGCTCAGAAACCCTCATGTCACAAGGCTCATTCACAAGTCTCAGACACTCAGAATCTAAAATTATGCATGGCTGAATTCCTAGGAAGTCACAATTTCTCTTTCCACATATAGCTGACCACTCATTTCTGTTTGAAGCAAAAACAGGCTGACACATAATTTAAATGGACTGTGTCTTTGAACATTGCTGCCCCCAAAGGGTCAAATCTGACTAGGGATGAGAGTGGAAAGCAATTCATGTGTAATACAAAACCACTGGGTCTCAGGCCTGGGAATCAGGCAATAGGTGAAACTGGCCACTGGACACAGGTCTACTTGACTGGACAAACACATGCCTTGTAGATCAGTGACAGAAGGCAGGCCACAGAGTGAACTCTTCCATTAGTGATTGGAAGGGCGTAGGAATACGAATGACCTTAAGAACAGCCACTTAGGATATTAACAGACTTGTACCAAACCTGACACACTATGTGGAGTGTGGCATCTGCCTTTGGTAGCCATTTCACCAGGCATTCGAGCTTCTTTCTTCATGATGCTGCCCTCCTTCATCACCCCAGTGGGGAGCCATCTCCCTCCCTCAGAACTTATTATGTTTTCTTAGTATCCCTTCGTCTAGACTGTTTGATGTTTTCTAGCAAGATGGTTTGTAGACACGTCTTCTGTCTCTCCTGAGGTTGTAAACTCCTTAAAAACAGGTACTAGATTCTTCACCTCTGTCATCCCCACATTGTTTGGTTCATCTGAGCACCCAAAAACATCCCTTGAATGAGTTGAATAAATATTCATCCTGCCTGGTGAGGTACAGGTGGGTAGCTGGGACTATCCCAACTTTAATCTTTTATTTTTGGTTAGATTAGAAGACAGGCCTCATTTCCTCTTGTTCCTTGGAATGGCCTAAGGCAAATCCTCATGACAGCAGAAAAAGCCTGACTCTTGGCAGTCTGTCGCCAGCACTCACAGCTCCAGAGCCCTTGGTAGATCCTTGGTGCCTCCCAGGGAGGGCAGACTATAGGCAGGCTCCTCAGGATGTAGTGGGTGGCTGGGAGGCAGGTGGCACAAGCCCAGCCCACTCCAGTATGTCTGCACACAAGGACTCCACAGCATCCAGCCGTTCAATCTGCACCAGTTTTGTGAGCAGCTCTGGGATGCTGTAGCCTGCTGTGCTGATGCGATCAAAGAGCTGCATGCCATCTGTCATGCCCCCAATCTCATCCCTCTTGAGTCCAAAGCTCTCGGCAAGGTGGCGCCATGTTTTCACAACAGCCTTCTCGGAGTTGTACGTGGAACTGAGCATTCGGCTTGTCTTCTCAAGGCAGTCAAATGGCAGCTCTGTGGGGCTGAGACCTGAGGACAAATAGCCATAGTCAGACATTGCAAATGGCAGTCAATAGAAGCTCAACACCATTAAAAATTATTTTTAAAACTTAAAAAAAGATTGTAAAATAAAACACAGATGCAGAAAACCATATAAAATAAGTGCAGAGCTTGAGGTGAACTACACCCAGGACTTTGCCAGCCACAAGAGAAGCCTTACCATGGATCCTAACCCCAATAACAGCCCCTTCCTCCTAGGAAAATAGCCACTATATTGACTGTTACAATAATCCCCTCAAGAACACTGTCAGCAGTCACCAAAGCCTTGAATATGGGCTACCCTTAGGTTACCGTGCTTTACATGGAGCTGGGCTGAGGAGGGAGTCAAAAGGACAGTATTATGCCCTTTATGGAGACAGCAGTCACCTTTATGAAAAGTGCTTTCAAAGACAGCCCAAAATTGGTGTTACCTGAGCCAACTCACTGCAACCTGAGTGGTCCCATGGTTCTCAATCTTCCTGCCTGTTAGACTTCCCTGGGAGCATTTTTTAAAAATGATGTATTTTTACTTTTGGCAGCTGGAGTAGACATGCTTTTCCTGATTGCTCCTAGTAAGTACAGCTAAAAACCCTAGATGCTCTGTACAAAGCAAACACAAAGAGACTCTGGAAAGTGGTGAGAAAAGACAGACTGGTAGAGAGCTTGGGAATAAAGCAATGACATGGTGCTGAGCCTTTTGCATCATTATCCAAGACATGGAGCTGAAGAGTCTGGCAATCCAGAAATATGAACAATAACAAACCAAAATCGTCCAACAGATGCCTGCTCTAACTAAAGCACTAGGAAAAAAGAAGCTTAGCAAGAAGAAAACATTTAGACAGTAACTGCTTTGTTACAGCCAAACACCACAGAGAAAACTGTGGCCCCACCCTCAACAAGGCCAGCAAAGCCTGGATGTCCACTCTCCATAGGCTGTTACATTGCACCAGGTTTCAGGGAAGGCAAGGTCAAGAGCCTGGACTTTATCATCATCAGCTGGTAACAAGCCTCCCAGCCCAGTGGTATCAGTGGAGACCACTTGGAAAAACAGTTTCCCACCCCATCCCTCTGCCATCAACAAAAAGAGATTCCTACTTGGGTGTAAATGAAGGCTGAGTGGGAACCTAGATATTTACCCCCATAGAGGTATCAGAGGAAGCCAGATACAACAGAGGGTTTAAATAAGACACAGAGTCTCATAACATGACATAAAACTCTCCAGATTTCAATAGAAACCCACTTATCCTACCAAGAACTAGGAAGATCTCAAATGTTCTTAATTTTACTTTTGAAAATATTTCCAAAAAGGGATAAAGAGTGTGAGGCAGGGTCAGCCAAATTCTCTGTGGTTTTTGTAGCTAGAAAAATCTCAAATAAAAATAGAAAATATCAGAGATAACAGAGATGCTAGAATTACCTGACAAGGATTTTATAGAAGCCATGATACAAATGCTTCAACAAATAATTACATACATGCTTAAAACAAGTGAAAAAAAATGGGAAGCCTTAGCAAAAGATAGAAAATATAAGAACCAAGTAGAAATGTTAGAACTGCAAAAATACAATTGAGATAAAAAGTTAAGTAGATATGCTCAATGGCAGAATATAGACTGAGGAAAGAATTAGTGAACTGGGTAAGAGAATAGAAATCACTTATTTGAACAACAGATAAAAAATAAACTGAAAAACACAGAGCCCCAAGGACCTGTGGGGCTATAACAAAATATCTCACATTTTTGTCATGGAGGCCTAGGAGAGGAGAAAGAGAGTGTGGATGAAAAAAGAAATAATAACTGAAAGTTCCCCAAACTTGGAAAGAGACATAAGCCTACAGATTTAAGAAGCTGAGAAAACTCCAAACAGAATACACCCAAAGAAATTCATACCAAGATACATCATAAATTCATGGAGCTAAAGACAAAGGAATCTTGAAAATAGCAAGAAAAAAATCAACACTTTACCTACAGGGGAAAAGTATTAGAATGAGAAAGTATTTCTCATCAGAAACCTGGAAGCCAAAGGGATGTGGCACTGTATTTTCAACTATGGAAATGAAAGAACTGTCAACACAGTGCCCCATGCCCAGTGAAAATACCTCTCAAGAGTGAGGGGAAAATCAAGGCATTCTCAAAATGAAGGAGAACTAAGAATTTGTCACCAAGAGAACTACCCTAAAAGAATGACAAAGGGAGGTCTCTAAACAGAAAGGAAATGCTAAAAGAAGGAACTTTGGAACATCAGTAAAGAGCACAGTAAGCAAAAATATTGGTAACCACAATAGCTTTCCTTTTAGGTTTTCTGAGTTATGTTTGCTAGTTTGAAGCAACTGATGTGGTTCTATATATAGAGAGAGGAAATATTTAAGACAACTATAAACAGGAAAGACATAAAGAGAAGCCGTTGTTTTTTTTTTAAAGTAGGCTTCATGCCCAGTGCGGAACCCAGTGGGGAGCTTGAACTCATGACCCTGAGATCAAGACCTGAGCTGTGATCAAGAGTTGGATGCTTAACTGAGCCACCCAGGTGTCCCAGGATGTAAGGTTTTTATACTTCCCTTGAACTAGTGAAAGGATGACCTCAGTGGATTATATATGTATATATAATACAGTACCTAGAGAAACTGCTAAAATAGCTATGGAAAAAGATGCACTCAAAACATATAGTATACATCACTCAAAAAACATCAAAGTGTATTTCTAAATTATGTTCAAGTGACCCAAAGGAAAGCAGGAAAAAGAAAACAGAGAAATGAAAAACAGAGACAAAAAAGAGTAAACAAAAAATAAAATAGCAATCTTAAATGCTAACATATCAATGACTATGTTAAAAATATCCTAATTATATGCTATCTACAAGAAGCTGATGTCCAATATAATGATATAGGCAGGTTGAAAGTACAAGAATAGAAAAAGATATACTATGTAAACACTTAATAAAAGGAAAGCACAAGTGGCTATTACATCAGACAGAGTAGACTTCAGAATAAAGGAAATGACCAGAGATAGAGAGGGACATTAATAAAAGGGTCAATCCACTGTCTGTGAAGACATAGCAATCCTAAATCTATATGCATCAAACAACAGAGCTCCAAAATATATGAAGCAAAAAACTGAAGAAATCAAACAACAGAGCTCCAAAATATATGAAGCAAAAAACTGAAGAACTTAAAGGAGAAATAGACAATTCCACAATTACAGTTGGGGACTTCAACGCCTTTCCCTTAGTGATTCATAGAACAATTACTAGGAAATCAGCAAGAATACAGAACTCAACAACACAAGGAAAATCCAACCATGAAGAAAATCCAATCAACATTATAGAACACTTGACTCAACAATAGCAGAATACAGGCCTTCAATTTCAACAAAAGAATTTAAAAGAATTGAAAGAGTGTATTTGCCTACCACAATGGAATCAAACCATAAATCAATAAATAACAAAGATAACAGGAAAATCTTCACACACTTGGAAAGTAAACAACAACCTCTTTTTTTTTCTATTGTCAGGGATGAAATTTGGTTTATTACATTTATTTCTCCATGGAGTTATTGCATTTAAAGACATGGTTTATTTTTCAAATGAAGAGACTTCTTTTCAGAGATCTTTATTAGGTTCCTGTCAGTTCCCTTGACTTTCCTTTAGAAGCAAATTGCATATGGGGGTGGGGGAAGAAAAGATATATGGATCCTCCTCTTTCTGGGAGGTTTTAGAACCAAAGGCTGTTGGTGTTTCCCATGCAGGGATGAGTCACCAGCAGTCACTTTCTCCTCTGTGTCCTTCCTTCTGCCATGAAGAGAGCCACTGGCACTGGGAATAACTCCACAGTGCTGCCCTCCACTGGGCAGCTGAGGTCCCTTGGCCTTGCCAGCCTTATCACACAGGCTGACCCTGGGGCATGTATATTTTTGGAGAAGAGATGCCATATTTCAGCAGGCAGCCAAGTAGAGTTCTTGGCCCCTAGAACTTTTTTTCAACGTTTATTTATTTTTGGGACAGAGAGAGACAGAGCATGAACGGGGGAGGGGCAGAGAGAGAGGGAGACACAGAATCGGAAACAGGCTCCAGGCTCCGAGCCATCAGCCCAGAGCCTGACGCGGGGCTCGAACTCACGGACCGCGAGATCGTGACCTGGCTGAAGTCGACGCTTAACCGACTGCGCCACCCAGGCGCCCCATTGGCCCCTAGAACTTATTTCTGACCAACAGAGCACCCAGCCAGGGAGCCTGCCCCAGGCAAGGTATGCTGGGCTCTAACTGTGCGGAGAACTGAGAGCACCAGGCTCCACTCCTGCTGCCTGGGCCAGACCTTGAAGTCCAAGGAGGGATGCCAGTGAGAGCAGGACTGAGTGGCCTGATGAAGCCGGGAACATTCCCTAACCTCAGTGATAAGGGGTTTTGTCTCCTGGGTGAATACAAAGGTGATTTAGAGCCTGGATTGAGAAGAAGTGGGCAGTGTGGATTCCTGTTTCAGGTTGAAATGTTTATATTCCTAGTCCTGCTGCCCATACCTGGAGGGTACTTGCTGTGATACAGCCTGACTTTGCTTGCTCCAGAAGCATCTTTGTGGATGGAGACCATTACACAGGGAAAGGGCAAGGCCAGCTAATTATTGGGTAAGTGACTGAAAACACCAATGTAAGGACAGGATCTGGGGACACTGGAGGACACTGTTCTCTAGATCATCCTGAATCCACAGTCCCCTAGAGAGGCTCTGCCCTGGGGATGGGTGTCATCTTCTTGTCCTGTGAGGGAAAGGGCTGTGGGGAGTGCCAGGCAAAAGTTTTAAATAGCTTCATGCCAAATCCCATGTCCTTCCACACCTGAAGTGGGTTCCCCAGCCACTGGGATAAGGAGCATGACAAGCTAGAGTGGGCGGCCTTTCTCAGCCCTCATGGGGCCTCAGGACTCCTACCAGAGCTGTTTCCTACATATTGATGATTGGGACAAGATCCTTGGGGAAACCTGGCTAAGTGTCCCCCAACAGTGCATCCATGCTTACCTTCAACAACTCCACACACATTGGCATACACATCCAATATCTTTTTCCTTCGACTTTGAATCTATAGGAAAAGTTAAGAGAATGTTAATTTTCACAAGGGAAAGTGGTAGTCATCAAAGACACAAATTCTCCATTGGAGTGTTGGCAGCTGCTCTCCCCTGACTTCTAGTCAGAAATGCTGAATGGCGCCCTCACATGAACATCTCATCAGGAAATCACAGGGAGAAAGCCTTTTCTTCAGGTCTCTGCCTGAAGCACATTCAGTATTCACAGAGGTAGAGGCTGCTGCTCCCACTGGACATTCAGGCTCACAAGACACCTGCATCAGTCTGTGTGGGAGGGTAAGTGGTGAGGACCCCAGCCGGCGGTGGCCTGAGATGCTATGGCCGTGTCTGCAGCTATCCACAGACTCTTCTCCCAGAGCACACAGCTTGGGGTAAGGACACAAGGCCCATGCTGGATGAGTGCAGAAGGGACCCTGGCTGAAAAGTCCCATGCCCCACAGGAGCCAATACCTCTCAGAAAAACTCCATAGGCCTCCAGGGTCCCTGCAAGTGATGGGTGCCATTACAGACATCCCTGAACTCAGGGCAGCCCAGAGCATGGCATCCCTGTCCAGACCCAGGCCAGATTCGGCTTCCCAATGGAGGGACTTTTTTTTACCCTAAGCTACCTTACCTAGCAACATGCTGACCTGGGGTTGGGAGAATAGGTCCCAAGGGGCTGCCAACGACCCAAGTGCTACACACTCAGGCAGCCTGGGCAGACCTGTGCTTCTTTGCCCATGCACCCTGCCATGAGGGTGGGGGCCTGATTTAGGTGACAAGCCCTTTGGACAATTTTACATGAAAAATGCATATTATGTATGTGTGTGTATTCATATGCCCATTCCCACCCCCACCCCACACATATACATACGCTTGTCTGCTTAGATACACACCAGTATGTTTGCAAAGGTTTTTTCCTGTCCTATGGTATCCCAAACAATTTTAACTTTTTTTTCTTTGCTTATTTTCATTTTCTTTTGTAAAGTTCTATAATAGAGAGATAAGTTTCCTATTTTTTTACTATATCGTTTTGAACCTGCCACTCTGTCTAGGTTCCTGGCGGTGGGTCTACTGGGGAATGGTGAGCGTGCGTGCGGCAGCGCCAGGGCCTCACCCCGGCTGACTTGGTGGCTGCCGACTTCTCCCGGGCCAGGTGAACCAGCGACAACAGGCACAGCTCTGGGGAGCCCTGCTTGTCAGTGGCAGGCTCCTCATCACTGTCCATGCTCCGGCTTAGCAGCTGCTCATTCTCCGATGATGCGTCATTCTCGCTGTGGAAGCAGAAGGGTGTGTGTTAACTGCAGCCCTGATACGTCCTCCCAGTGGGGAGACAACCGGGTCAGGGACTTGTTCCCCATGCTTTTACTGAGCAGCTTCTGGGCATGAAGCGAGAGAGACGTGCCCCGCTCTTACTCCTCGTCCTCTGCTATTTTCCCAACTAGTGACCCGGATGTTGGGTGGCCTGCAGGTGTCCTGTCAGAGGACTCACAAGGTGTCTCATGAGCACCGCAGGGCTGGGGTCCAACAGTGAGGGGGACAGCATCTGTTCATCTGTCCACCCCCACCTAGCTCAGTCAAGCTTTCTTAAATACATCACAGCTTCCTATATTTAATGCAGGAAAGTGCCAGGTTCAGCCTCGTGTCTAAAAGCAAACAGTTTATGTGGCCAGCACCGAATCTGTGCAAGCTCTCTGGAATAACCCAAAACAAAGCTGAATGGAGCCTGCCTGGGGACCCCCTCTTGACTAGGGGGTGACCTGGCTGAAATGTGTGCGTTGTGGTGGGGGGGGAGTCACAGAGAGCCTGGCGAGGGGCTCTGGGAAATCCCCCAGGAAGTCATGTGGGCCCACTTCCACCACTGCTCACTGTCCACAGCCTTAGGCACATGTGGGGTGGAGCTTAAACTCTCAAAATCATTCCAAATATATAAAAAACAGCATTCTTTTTTATAGGCATCCTGCTGGCTTCCTGTGGTCTGGCTGAAGACTTACAAAGAATTATTCTTTTCTAGCAACTGGGTTACAGTAATGAAGCCCACACTCAAACACAACTGTAGAGACCAGATAAAGGTGAGGCCCAGTAGGTTCAAGGGACTCACTTGGAGTTGGCTGGCCTGCTGCTGTCTCCACTTGACAGCAGGCTAGGAACAAAAGCATGGTTGTCCCCAGAGACCACTGACTGTCCTAGGTCCTTTCCCTAAGAACTGAGAGCAGGCAGAGGGGAGAGGAGCTCTGTGCCTTGTCTTCTATAGCACCATCGTTGGGTTTTAAGTTTTACTTGACATTTACATATGAAACAAGTATTATTTTTCCAAATATTTTTCCAAATACCCCAAATTTCCCTTATTCTTTAGATGAAGCTTAAGTCATGGGACACATCCCTGCCCTTTTTAGTATTCCTTTTTCCTTACTTTTGAGAATGAGCAAAGGCTGGAAGAACAGAAGAGGAGAGGCCGCCACAACACCAGGCTGGATAGACTGGAGGGTGGAGGAGAAACTTGTCCCCAGGGAGGCACTCTGCAGAGCCAGACCCTGCATCATGGCCCCTGCATGCCCTGGTGTTCTGAAATGAGGTCAGTGGGAATGGAGGCACTCACAGGAAATACCTGCCGTCTGAGGGCCTGCTGAGGTGGACACACTTTCTTTTCTTCCAGCATGCAAAGATTTCATGATTTAAGTCTGCTTTCTGACCTTGTGTCAGGGGTCTTGAGAGATGCTGGGGTTTTCCAAATGTAACATGTTTAGAAGTGCTTTATTAACACCAAAGCTCTACATGAACATGTGGATTCATGATCATTCCTACAAATGAAAGCCTTTGCAAGAGTTCACCCACCACAGGAAGGTCCCAGGCCGGAGGCCAGGACAGGAGGCATTGCTCCTCTGCTCTTCCTGTAACTAGTTTGGGGGTCTCCCATGGCCTCTGTGCCCCAAATACATGGGCATTTGGGTAGACGGTGTCCTGGAATGGCCAAGTGGGTGGAGGCTGGACAGGGTGCTGATACCATGGGGTGGGTTTTCGGAACCTAAGCAGGACCAAGTTCAAATTACCATCTAAGGGGCTAAGGAAAAGTTCACTTCCCTCTGCCCTAGACATTAGAGCCAGGGCTGATTCTACATCCTAATGTGCACTAAGTATGGTGCAAATTTCATATGCCAAACCTCTTCCTTAAGAGGCCTTACTTCATAAGCATTAGTGGTTGGTCTGGAGCCTGTACAATGTGGGCTCTGGAGTCAGAGCTCCAGGGGCTCTGGCTCTCTGCCCTGCCACTCATGGATGTGTGACCTCAGGCATGTGACAGCTTCCAGACCTTGGCTTCCCACAATCAGGGATATTAGCACCTTGCTCATGGGGTGCTTACACTTAGCATGGTGCCTGGCGGCCAGATGTCTGGTAGCCATCATCATCACCTCTGCCATTCAGGGTTTAGGGATACTAGTGCTGGCCTTAGCACTAGTGATGTCAGTGTCAGTGCTGGCCGCAGTAGGCTGCTGGAGAAGAAAGGGGCACTCGCAGGCTTTGGGTCTGCACGCAGAAGGTGGATGTAGAAGAAGAAGGCCCAGGGCATCTGGCCCTGGAGCAAGGTGTTAACCACCTGCCCCTCATGCTGCCTGGCCCCTGCTGCAGGTCAGTGGTGAGGCTGAAACCTGGTACTCACTTGCCTTGCCGGTCTTGAGGCCCTGCTCCCTCTGGAGCCTCCAGCCAGTGGCTAGGCTTCTCCATGTGCTCCCCATCTGGCAACCCAGCTCCCCTTCCTGCTCAGGAACCCAAGAGGATCCCTGACGTCTCCTTGGGCTGGGGGCTGCTCCATCCCATGGTAAGTGGCTGCCTTGGCTTGGCTTACCTCTTGGCAGTCTTGGCTGGAGCTGCAGTCAGCTTCTCAAATTCATCCTTCTCGGAGAAAATCACCACGCTGTCTGCAGATAAATGGAAAGATTGGGGGTGGGAGAAGGGAGCTGGAGTCGGCCCCTGACTCTGAGCTCATCCTTCCCTGCTCACTTCCTCTTTAGCAGGCCTGACTGGTGTCTAAACCACACCACCCTCAGAGCCAAGCACAATGTGGGGGCACTGACACTTTTTCCTGCAGCCCTGTTCTACGTTGCATGGGAACACCAGTGTCATGAGGCCAGGCTGGTGAGTGGGGCAGACAACCTCCACCCTGGAGATGGACACCCGTGCTGTGGGGGCTGTGTATGCAGACCTTGGGCCTCTTTCTTCTCCTCTTCCTTGCTCACTTGGGCTTCCACACTCTTCACTGGGTGGCTGGTGCAGCATGCTGGTTGGAGAAAGGGAAGGGTGTGAGGAGCCTGGCTCGCTGACAGGGTAAGCTGATGGAGCAATCTGAGAGTGAGGGTTTGTGGGGTGGGTGTAGGGGCATTGGGGAGCAGTCACCTGGGGCTGAAGGCTTCGTCTTCATGATGTAGAACATGATGATGAGGACAATGGCTATGGCCATGATGAAGATGGTGGACATGGCAATGATCAGGGCTGTGGCCAGGTGCCCTTGGCCTGAGAGCTCTGCTGGAGGCAGGGAGAGAGGGCAACATAGGGCTCAGGACTCCCTACAAGAGCCCATCAGGCCGGCATGACCCGCCCTCTGAGAAGATGGCAGTGCCTGTGGCAGGAGATGCTTCCAGGGGACCCTCAGAATCCAAAACACTTGCTTAGCCTGAGACCCAAGCTGTACAGATTTTCTTTGGGAATCATGTCAGGACTGCCCAGGAGCTCTCCTGGCTGGTCTCAACTAAGGCTGATCCAGACTTCTCTGGAACCCCATGGTTTGGGTTCACTCAGTTGTTCCTGAGGTGCTTGCTTGTGCTTCTACTACTTTGGGAGCCCTGGGTCAGGTGGGATATGGAGAGGAAGAGACCCATGAGCAAGTGTCCTGAAGACAGTTCCACCCAAGGTTTTTCTGAGGGCTAGAAATTCTATTTTTGGTTTGGCTCTGTCCTGTGTCTCATGCAATTTCAGTTGCATGTAATAATCGGAGTCTCAGGGCAAAGGTGGTACAGGTGCTGCCACACCTCTTCCTCTGTTCCATCACCTCCACCATGATTCTTCCCTGGGGCGGTTCACCAGGCGATTCTCAGTCATTTCCCCAGTAATGCCTGCTGTTGATACATACAATGCCCTGACGTGTGTTCTAATTCTCTGAAATCACAAGATTCCTGTTGTCATGAGGCAGGATCCAGGTTACCCACCATGGGAAAGGGATAAGATCTAAAGCACTGGGGACCATGTAAGGGAGGTGGCAGCCCTTTAGGAAGAGGCATAGAGCTTGTAGCCCCAGCACTGCCTGTTTCCACAGCTGCCCATCCTCCCCAGTGGGGTGTGTCTGCAGGAAAACTGGCCTCAGCTTGTCATGTGGGGAGTATCATTATTTGGATGCCAGGTATGGATGATATAAATGTTGTAATATTCTCTGTGGTGTGCTATTCCTGCCCCTCACTTGGGGTCTGGAGGAAATGAGACTCATATATCCTAGCAAAGTCTTCCTGCTTTGATGCTCTGTGAAAGTACAGGTCAGGTTTGGAGAGCAATGCCAAGGCTGGCACACTGAGTGCACTGTGGGATTTTGAAGGGCCCCCAAGCCTCACTGAGACCAGGGCTCTAAATATGCTTAAATAACAGCATTAAAACTGCCAGATGGCAGCATGAGGCCTTGATCTGAGAGAAACATGGGTCTTGGGGTCTTTTGCCCTCCTCAAGATTTTCCATCCCTAAGGGAATAGGTAGTGAAACGTAGTTACTGGAAACAAATATTAAAGTGTTGAACTCAGTAGGTTTATCTGAAAGCCAGCAACAGAATGGCTATTGCTGTCAAGCCCAGCCACGGCCAGGAAGCTGGCTCCCCTCTGAGGGGCCGCCTGTGCTCTGAGCACCACCCTGCCATCCCCAGGATGTGCTTTTCTTGCCAGCATGTTCTAAGGGGCCCAGAACACCCATGGAGAGATCCATTCCACTCCTTGCAGAGATCATGACCACCTTCCTGCTACTGGGGGCACTGAGGAGCCCTACTGCTATTCCTCATAGCTGCTTCCAGCCTCCCTTTTGCTCTTATCCAAGCCCCTCATTTCCAGCTGGCTAGCTGCAGAAGTGCAATCCTTACCTTTGTGGGCGTGCTGGAAAGGAGAGAGGGTGCTGCTGCCAGAGGTGCTGGGGAAGTTGGCAGAGACTCCGGAGCTGGCTCCTGTACCTGCAATGAGAACCCAGTCACCGTGTATTCCTCGGGATGACCTGGACAAGCCCCACCTCCAAGGATGGAACGCAAGGTGTAGTCGCAGAGCCCGGAGATCTAGTATTCTAGATTATGCAGGGACTGCAGCAAGGGGCACAGGACAGGGAAACATTTTAATCTCCTAGAATGTTTCATAATCCCTAAAGAGTGTTCTGACCTCCCAAGGGTTAATCTTCAAGAGAAGACACGTAGGTAAATCTGCTAAGACTAAAAAGTGGTGCCTCACCAACTCAATATTTCTATGAACAGAGGTAAAATATATGCAATCTATAAAGATGAGAAAAGTACATATACATACAAGTATTACTGGAGGAAAGTAATAATTGAGAAATTTCTTCAATTACACAAAACAGAAATGTCTTTTTAATACTTTTTCTAGTTATAAAAGTAATATGTTCCATTATTAAAAATCAGGAAAAAAATGGGAACACAAGAAAGAAGTAAAAGAATTGCTAGCTGAAGTTGAAAATTTGGTGTGTTTTCCTTTAGGATTTTCCTAGGATTCATTTTTTTTAATGTTTATTTATTTTTGAGAGAGTCAGCATGAGCAGCAGAGGGGCAGAGAGAGAGGGAGACACAGAATCTGAAACAGGCTCCAGGCTCCGAGCTGTCAGCACAGAGCCTGACCTGGGGATCAAACTCCCGGACCGCGAGATCATGACCTCAGCTGAATTCAGATGCTCAGCCGACTGAGCCACTGAGGTGCCCCTCCTAGGATTCATTTTTAAAAATACTTGTGCTCAAGCAGTTTAAGAATAGAGATGAACTTTGCCTTCTTTCAAAACTGTGACTCCTAAAACTTCCCTTCTCTATTCCTTCTATCACTTAGCAGGGATGAAATGGAAGCTGGTTTTGTGACCAATTGCATCACTGAGAAATTGGTTAAAACAAAGCAAAAATGTTCTGCCACAGAAAACACAACATCCTGATAGCCAATCTTCCTGTAGGCTGGACTTGAGTTTTGCCATTAACGAAAATGATCATGTTTCAAATATGCTTCTTCTGTCTCATTTTTGTCTCTGCCAGTTCTGGAGTAATTTGTGAAGTGTCCTTGCACGATCCCAAGTAAGGGCAGGTGAGCTGGCCTCTCCAAAAGTCACACACTCGGTCCCCCAGCTGGCCCAGCAAGGAGTGACACCTTCCCTGGGACCCTGGTCAGCCAGCCTCAAGGCTTTCATGAGAGCCATCTGTAACACAGTTTCTTTAAGAGAAGTCATTCAGGAGAAACCACACTCTGTAAGTGGTATTTCCAAAACTACCCGTGCACACAGCTTGGGTCAGCTTGGGAGATGGGCACCACAGCCAACTGGGTGAGGAAAGTCCTGTTGAATTATCCACACATCTATGTCCAGTAAGTAGACAAGGTCACAGGAGAGCAGGGCCAGAACAAAAGAGAAAACTGCAAATACAATGGGGACAGACTGAAGATTGGCTCCTGGGGTCACTGTACTTCTGTTGGGTGCCATGGGTCTCAGGGGTGGCCTGTCACTTGGGTTTGCCAGGAATGTAACTGTTGCTGCTGGATGAGAAATGTCATCTGCAGGTGGAGGAGTCAAGAGGTGGGCTCTTTAAACCACACACCTACTGTAAGGAAGCACTGAGGGGTGTGAGGCACACATAACCCCAGCAGCCCCTGCACAGGGGCCAGCCTGGGAGCCCAAGAAGGCTTGTCAGCAAAGTCACCTTGGGGCGTGCTGGGACCACCCTGCCACCCTTCCAGCCCAGGCCAGATCAGTCTTGCTAAATCAGACCTCTCAGCACCAGAGGTGTCTCCTGTCTGGGGATCCATCACTTCTGGAGCCCAGGGGTCTAACTTATCTGGTGCTCCTGGTCTTTGCCCTTTCACCTGGTCTCTGTCACCTGCTGTGCTGCCCCAGACATGGATGTGGCTGTGCCAGGACCACCACACAATGGATGGAGCAGTCCCCTCCCCTGCACAGGGCACTCTGAGTTCTGTGGCTCTGGCTTCTCTCTTCTTTCTCAACTGCTGGTTATGGGGATCACTTCTTAGCTCTGCCATTACAAGAAGGGGGGCATGCTGAGGGGTGCATGGGGCACCAAGGCAGCAGGCCCATCTGTGGTGCCCAGCTCTGCGCACCACCATGGGCTACCCTTGTGTTAGTGCAGACTGCAGAGCTGACCCGCTCAGAATGGAGGTGGCCCGCACCTTCCTCCCCCACCATCCCCAAACTTTTTAGCCTTTTCACCTGGCCTCAGAACCAGTGGCCTCTCAGGAAGTGCTGGTGGGAAGGTGCACCCCCTCTCCGTCTCCCTGTGAGGGCTATGTGCACACGACAAACCCTGGGGCTGGGGGCTCTGCTGTGTGCACCTCACAGGCCATCTGGCTCCCCTTCATCATGGTAAGGGGCCTTCAACTGCATCCAGTCAAGTAGGAAAAGCAACATGGGGCATGGCTTTAAGCAGAACCCAATTTCTTTTTTGAAAGCAAACAGGACACTGAAAATAAAGCTAATCTATCTGTTTGGTAAGGGGCTGAAAGGAGTTTAAGCTATTCATCAGGAAAAAAAATACCCATGGGCTCTGTTTGTGGATTTGTCATCTTTGTCTCTTCTTGTCCCTTTCTGCCAGGGCTTGCCGGCCAAGGCTGGGTGACAGAGTCTGGGGTTAGAGGCACAAATGTGCCCAGGCCTGTGGTCCAGGAAGGAACAATGAGAACAGCCCAGCCACACACAGACTTGTGAGATGACTTTGCACCCGACTGGCAGGACTGCTCACACAGCGCCATCAGCAAACAAGGTGTCCAGGCTACTGCATGTCAGTAAAACACATCTCACTACACCCAATGGACAGCTCCTGAACTCGGTCAGGTGGCAAGGTGGGCCCTGCCTCCACCCTGGTTCACTAGACGTTCCCCCAATTGAGCTCTAGCCAGTGTCAAATGAATGGCCCTGGCCTGCAGGTGCTGGGTGGGGTGTTCTCTGGCTGTTCAATGATCCCTGAGCCTACTAGAAAAATGTTCTGTTCTGAGCACATCCCAGGGACAGAGGGAGGGTAGGCAGGAAGGCTGCATGATTAGAGGTCTATCTCTGTGGGTAGGTGCCCTGAGTACAGCAGGCCACCAGGCCACCAGGCCACTGCATGGCAATTTCCCTATTCCAGATTCCCCTTTGGTCTAATGAGGGTTAACTCAGTACTGACACAAGTATTTAGTGTCTGGGAGGTTTCCCTCCACTCCAACACATGGCAAGTTTTGGGTCCACTTGGCCTCCTCAGAATGGATTGTTAGGTGAACATATTTCTCAGTAGTTTCTGTCGGGTGGCCAACTACTGGTCCATCTTACACAGCATAATGCTCCCACTGGAGCCTAGCTTTGAATAAGCAGAGATAAGTCCTTTACACACAGAGTCAGAGAAGTAGATGAAAACCGTAGGCCCAGAAAATCGGCAGACATCTTCACACAAGGTCTATATTAAAATGAAAGCAAGTGGGTCCTGGCTCTGCTTAGCTCACTGGTGTGTTCGGGGCAGACTGACTTGGACAGTAGGTAGGGGAGGTGGGGGTTCTACACGGTGTAGGCCCATTTTCTTCAAGAGGATTTTGAGAACTGTAAGCCTGTGGCTCAATGCAATAATACCTCTATTCAATGTGATGACAGGACTTACGGGGCCTTTGAGGTTTGTTAATCCACACAGTTTATAAATATGCCGTATGTGTTACAGACTGCTGGTCTTCTCTGCATAGGGCAAACAGGTTGGATTTTCAGGAGTGGTTTGATTCTTAGAGCTGTCGGCGCAGGTGCCCCCAGGATGCTGTGTTGGCCCAGTGCCCCCCAGTGGCGGAGCCTGGAACAATGGGCAAAGCTGCTGGAAACTTGGCAGGAGGGTGTCTCCAGGATCTCCCTGGAAATGCAGTCTAGGAACCCACCCCAGACCTGCCTTGTCGGGATCTCTTTCTTAGCAGGACTCTGTGATGGATGTACACATTCCAGTTTGAGAGACACTGTGTTAGAAACAGCTGGCCACTGGCATTTGGGAATGCCACAGCTCCACATTTAGTGGGCATTGCATGATGGCATCTGAATGAAACTTGCCACAGCTTTCCTAAGCAGAATTCTCCAAAACAGACTCTGGTTGAGTCTATCCTGGACCCGATGCAGGGCTTGTCGTCATGGAGGAGGGATAATAAAAATGAGGACATTGGGACAAGTGAGGACCCAGCCCCGGACCTGCCTCATTGGTCCCTCCAGCATTCTGTGAGGGTGGGCTCCTGTTGGTCTGGTCCCACTGGGGCAGGTGGGGGACAGAAAGTCAGTGTGGGCTACCTGGGGTGGGGCCACGCTCACCCATTGGGCTGTGGAACTCTGCCATCTGCTCCCTGAGCACCCTGTGTGGTACTGGGTGGACTCATCATCCACGGTTGATGCACCATCCCTCACCACATCTTATGACACAGATATCCACATTTTAAGGATGAGGAAACTAAGGCATAAAGTTAAGTAACTTTCCTAAGAGGGGAAACTCATAATGAAACCCAAATTTTCCTGGCTATGGCACCAGGCCACCTCTGTGTTATCACACCACAGATTCCTTTATGAGGCAGCCCTCAGGCATGAGTTCTTCAGAATGTGCGGGAAATAAAAACAGACAGTGCTGGTTCACCAAGTGAATAGTGCTCTTTGACTTGGGCTTCTTCTCTTTTTTCCATCTGGTGCTGATTTGCCAGCGCCCAGATAGGGATGGGATTGGAAGTGACTGCGGTCATTGCTGCATCTGGAAGGAAGCTGCACACTTTCCTATGGGCAGGTCACAAGCAGGGGAGGAGGGGAGGCTCCTCTGGGGGTGCTCTGAGCATCCAGGGGCCTCCCTGTTGCACTCTAGTTGGTTTAGAGAGGAGTCCTCATTTGCACTTGCTTTGTGCTTTCAATACTGCAAGTATTTTGTGCACGTAGGTCAGCCCTATTGGTATACTGAGAGGATATTAGTTTCTCAATTTTACAGGAGAGAAAACAGATGGAGGGTGGTTCCTGGCTTGCAGGGTTTTTCACAGTCCCTGAATACCAGGCTCCACAGTAACGTCCACTAATTTCTGTTCTCATGAGAGAGAACAACTGGCCCAAAGGCAAGATGATCGCAAACAATGGCCCCTTCACCCTACATTTCATAGAGCTGTGTAGGGAAGATGCTTCTGTAAGATGGAAGAGGAACCCCTGTACAGAGAGAGGGGGAGTGCCCTAGAGGGTGGGGGGAGATGTGACAGCTCCTGGCTGGCCTTCTCTGGTATGGTGTCTTCCAGACTCCTGCATGGGTGTCTTTCAGGGGGCTCCTGTCACCTCTGGCCAGCTCCAGGTCTGCATTATATGCTTTGCCCAGGGTCCATGCCAGGGTCTCTGACCACAGGTTTGCACACTCTGCTACTCACTGACTCTGGGTAGTTTCATGCAGCAAGTGCCCAGGTAAATCATGTCAAAACTAGAGGGAGCGTCTCAGCTTGGAGGCAAAGGAGTTCTTGACCACTGACTGTAGGCTCAGGAAAGGCAGCACCTGATGGGACTGGGACAGCCAGCCAGTGATGTCAGGATCCTGATGAATGAGGCTTCACTGACTCTCCTGGCTCTCCTGGGGTGGAGCTGTTGAAGGCAGCCCTATGGATTTGAGTCCCAGGGTCTTCATGGAGGCTGTGGTCACAACTAGCTTTTCTGATTATATTGGCTGCTCCTGAGCAGGAGTCTTGGTTTGAAAGATCTTGGGACTGAAGCTTGGTGCAGGGGGGAGGTGCAGACCCCAGAGCTGGAGACAGAAACTCTCACATGCACACTTGAAACCCTGACCCAGGCAGGGCTCCATTCACCATGACACCCCACAACCTAGCTGGTTACCTCTCCCCATTTTCCAGATTGGCAGACAGAGGTCTGGAGGCTTGCCCCTTGACTCTTGGCTTCAGTGTCTTTGCTGGCCTCTTTTAGGGCTGGATGCTATGAACCCACTACAAGGCCTTACTGGAAGCTGGTTTTCAGTTAAGCAATTCAGGGCTGGGGGCTGGGGAAAGGATGCACTTATTTTCAAAGTGTCGAGGGCTCAGGGGCTCTGCTTTCTCTCCCCGTGTGATGGACCCCATTGTTGGACGGCAAGAGGAGGGAGGCACCCCTCCCCTGCCTCAGAGCTCTTCCAGCCATCTGGCTGGTTATGGAAGGCCTGGGCAAGAACAAACCTCATGTGTGTGAGCTTGTTTTCCAGGTTCTTCAGGCAAAGACACTTTTCTGCATAGGTAGGGGAGTGCCTCACATCTTCCCAGTGAGAACTCCATCCCAGAACTATCTGGTATTGAATTAGTTGGGATCCTCTAGCAGGAGGCAGTGGCACGGCGAGCAGACTTCACCACGGGACCTGCTGGAAGCCTGGAGCCCTTGGCCCTCCCCTAATTTGTGAATTAATGAGCATGTGGCTGGGTACAAAGCTTAGCTTTAAAGATATGCAAATCCATTACTGCCAGTGCATCTACTGAAGTTATCTAGGAAAGAGGGGTGGCCCCCCAGGGGCAACCTGACACATGCCCACCTGCCCACTTGGGCATCTCCTCCCCCTGAACCATAAGGTGCGGGCGGAGGGCGCGGTGTGGAGTGGTGCTCCTTGTTTGCTTCTCTCCTTCCCTCCCTCCCACTACTCTTAAGGGCAGGCCCTTGTTCTACTCCCCTGGGCAGGAATATTGTGAGAACATGGAGTGGGGGAGAGGCAGGGTCCCCGCACAGCCCCTCTTCTGCCCTGTGGTAGGAGTGGGCCTGGGGGAGAGCAAGGAAGGGCTCCTGCAGCCCAGGGACAGCTGTCCACCCACTCTCTTCCATGGCGTCTCTCCAGACCATAGATCCAAGAGGCCACATGCTACATTCTCTGGAGCAGAGGTCCCTGGCCCTTCCTCACAGATACATGCAGTGAGAATCAACCAGAATGAGAAGGGGAAAGAGACAGCTTAAGGTGGGACTCTGAATCTGCGAGCCTCACTGATTACATGGGCTTTGTGGAGTCCAGTTCATTCACTGTGACCACTCCTCATCTTTCCCTTGGTCTCATCTGGTTTGAAATGTATATACAAGAACTTAAAATTGTCTAGTACTTTGCAGGACTTTGCAAAAATACCTTGGCAACTGTGATCTCATTGGTCTTTCCAATAATTGCATGAGATGGAGGGTTCAGATTTTAAAGCCCCATGTCACAGATGACAAAACTTGTTCAAGGTGTCAGGTGACTGACTCATGGTTCAGCTATAGCAGACTTCCCTTCAGGGACCTGCTGCCTGACTGGCCAGGCCATGGGAGCATTTTTGTTTATGCCTGCACTGTATTCATCTGCCTGGGTGCTGGGACTGGCTTATTTTTACAACACCGCATAACAAGAGATACCAGTGCTGAAGCAGCAGTGTTCCAATGGAAGGACAAGGGCACTCACATTCCTTGGTGTTAGGGGGTGCCAGGAGGCAGGAGTAGCAGACCATGCCGTAGATGTTCCTGGGTCTATTTTCCAACATGTAGTAGCTACAGGGAGGGCGAGACAAGACAAAGCAGACAGGTGAGCCAGGTGTCACCACAAGCAAGTACTGATCACTTGGCATGCCCGTGATTCAGGCATGATCCAAGCATGATCAAAGTGTAACCAAAGTCAGGGATGAGACACATGCCATGGGAATCGGGAACCCTCAGAAATAGCAGCCCATTTTGACCACTGAGTTTCTCTGGGAGTTTTCAGCATGTCTTGAAATGGAAAAACAGTTTTTCTAATAATAGGCCACTTTGGGCCTTTAAATCTCCTTTCCTTTATGATTGTTTTCACTGATGAATTTGTTGTGTGTGTGTGTGTCCTCATCATCTTCATCCACATCATCGACCAAAGTATCTGTGTGCCTACCACATGTAGACCCTGATTAGCTCTCTGGGAGTTCCAGCCAGCGAGCCAGATCCCCCTGGAGGAGGAGCTTCCCCCCCCTCAGCAAAAGCCTGTCTCAGAACCACTAGCCTGGCAGGATTACTGGCAAATATGTCTATAAGCCCCTACGATACTGGCACCTCACAGACCTTCTGCATGCCTGCTAAGATTGAACGGAGCTGGCTGCAGTGGACAGAAAGCAGCAATGTCTAGAGAGGTCAACGCAGAAGGCCTTAGGGTTGGCCTGACATACAACCAGGTCATAACTGAAATTCCTTTGTTTCCACCTCAGGAAGCACCTGACTCAGACGCTGCATAAGCTCAAGTGTTCGCACTGGGGTGGCATGTACTGAATGAAACAGAGAAATCATTCACAATAAGACTGTGAAGTCGTTTACCCCCATTGATGCCACGTATTTTGAGCCTCCCAGTGTCAGTGTGCCAGCCCTGATGACCACGCTAGCCTGCAGAGCTCTGTACCCTGAGTCAGGACCCCTTGGACCTGGCAATCCTCACCTCCAGTGCTCACAGCTCTGGCTCCTTTCCACATGCAGACTTTGGCACCTCTCTTGGCATGTGCCTGCTTTTCATAAACACACATTCAGCGGTGATCATGAAACCATTTATCACATCATGAGAGGTCGATTAAGTAACGTGAGCTGGTGCCAACATTTTTCCTTATGATTTCAAGAGATGAAAAATCCCTCTTCACTATTGGCTTTTTCCATGGTTGGTTTTTAATCTCTTTCTTATTAGCCGTGCACACCCAGGCCCCACTGATGGCAGGGTAGGTGGCAGCATGGCAGGGGTGCTGGGGTTGTCTTTGGACTCCAGCCGCCATGAGCTGGACCATTACCAATAACATTATGATCATAATTGCCTGCCCTTCCTCAGGGCCTTTTATCCTCAGATCCCTGTGTATCTCATAAACATTAATTAGTCAATCTTAAAACAGCCCTCAGAGAAGCCACAACAGCCAGTTTTACAGTTAAGCCTTCTGGAAAAAGCCTCTCTCAAACATTCTGCCACTCTCCATAAGGCATCTGTGCCTGGGATGCAGGAAGTGACAGTGGGGCCTATGGAGCATCTGCTCCCAAGAGGTGGCAAGTGTCTGTGTGTGGCCTCATGAGGGTGACAGGCTTCAGGCCAGCCCCCTGATTTCTAACATCCAGACCCACTGTTGGCACTTGGGGCTCTGAGTTAGTCCTCACCTCCCCTTCGGGCACATTCTTCTGCTGGATCAGGACTGTTGGTGTGCCTGGCCTGGGAGTCCCTCAGGGCCAGTCTTGCTCATAGCTATATTCCTACTATCTGTGCAGGGCACTGAGGAGGCATGGTTCTAGGCCAACATTGGTTGGAAAAATCAAATGAACAACACTAAGTTCTCCTCCACAGAAGTTCAAAGTTCACAGCCTGACGAGGGCCCTGAGGGCATTCTCTGCATCTTTCTTCCTCCCTTTTTTTTTTTTTCAACGTTTTTATTTATTTTTGGGACAGAGAGAGACAGAGCATGAACGGGGGAGGGGCAGAGAGAGAGGGAGACACAGAATCGGAAACAGGCTCCAGGCTCCGAGCCATCAGCCCAGAGCCTGACGCGGGGCTCGAACTCACGGACCGCGAGATCGTGACCTGGCTGAAGCCGGACGCTTAACCGACTGCGCCACCCAGGCGCCCCTTCCTCCCTTTTAAAAAAGAAGCAGCACAGCTAAACCTACCCTGTTTGACACCTGAGCTCTGAGCTCTGTCTGAGATGAAGAGCCGGAGCTGCCCAGCGGGTGGAGAATGCCTGGGCTTAGAACATGGCTCCCTGATGGGTCTGCGGGGCCGCCACGCTCTGTGCACACTTGGGGGCGGGTCTGCTGCCCTTCCTCGCACACAGTTCCTTCTCGCTTTCATCCCAAGCGGGGGGCGGTGGGGGGGGGGGGGGGGGTCTGTCTGACTCCCATGGGGGCTCGGCAGGGCTGCAGCAGAGCCTCCTGTCCTGATGCTGTGTCTGGACCAAGCTGTGTGACATATTAAATAACGTAGCCAAGAAACAAAATACTGAAAGGCAATACATCGAAAAAAATAAATTGGTTCCAGAGGAACTTCCCAGCCTGAGTTGGCATGTGAACTGCCTCTCGCATTTCCAGGCATGTACCACTGCCCAGAACATTGTCAGGTGTGAGGGTTTCATCTTCAGGGCTAACCTCAGCAACTCGTGCTGCAGCTTACACCCAAACCTCTCAGTCTGGCTACACAGGAGTGGAGAATCATTGCTGGGCTGCTTCTATCTGACAGATTCCCATCAGCCTGAAGCTGGGTGTTCATTCAGGGGTCTGTGTCCCTGCCACAGAGTATTGGGTCCCTCTGTCTTTCTGTAGGGGCCTGATTTCCTACACTTTGATCTATGTTTTGACTTTTCTTAGTTCTTTTTTGTTTTTTGTTTTTTTCCTCAAGGGTTGATTAAGGTAAGGAGAAAGATAAAACGCAGTTTAAATGGGGCCTCTAGAATCTTCTATGAAGGGGTTGACTTATTCCATGTCAACAGATATATAGATTTCCCCCAAAGATTTCCTTTCCTCAGGGCTCCTAAGCTTGTAATGGATGTGATGGAGCCATTGGATGTTGTCTTCCCACACAATGAGGCACGTAGAACCGTGTCCTTCACCTGGCCCTCCAACAACCCTAGAATGCCTTATTTGAAGGGAGTGGACATGGACTGGAAACCGGCCAACAGAAGGTAAGATGGGCCACTGCCAGCCATGGATAAGACGCTGCTCTGGCAGGGGGTGGGGGTGGGCTATGAAATAAAACCTCCATGTCTTCCTCTTCTCCTGATTTGTTCCCTGTCCTCCCACACAGCATTTCTCAACAGGAAAGCCATGTATGCTCATTGTTCTGCCAGCATCTCAGCCGCATACTGACGCACAGCAGAGAGGGCAAAGAATAAGGGGAGTGTGCCTGCCAAACCACAAGGGGGGCAGGGCCAAGGGAGCCTATGGTGTTAGGAAGACAAATCCGTGGCGGCCTGCATTGTGGCCTGGCAGCCACATGGACTCCATGAAAACAGCCTTTCACTGAGTGAACAGCGCCAGCTTACCCAGACTCCTGGTAACCCTCCCCTGTGACACAGAGCATGAGAGCCTCATTTGTTCTCTGGGCCTATGGTGGGTAACAAGAGACGGGAGGTCCTGAGGCCCTGGAGCCTTCCCCTGACAAGCACAGTACTCTATAGAGCCCCTCTGAGGAGGCTGGGGGACCAGAGATAAAGTAGGGGCCTTCTGCTACAGTGGCCTTGGGGTTGGGAGTGACTTATTTGAATGGTCTGTCACACTACAGGGCCAAACTGGAAACCAACTACATCTTCATATCTGTGAAGGATGCAGTGAGATGAAAGTCGAGACGTATCTCCGGCACAGTGGCCTTCATCCACTCAATGAGTGCCCTGGGTGATTCAGTCAAGGTGTGGAAGAAGGAGGTCGCTGTTCCTATGGAGCAGGGAGCGAGTTACTCAAGACTTCAGAGCTCAGAAGACCCTTTTAAGAGTACAGATGCTGGCTTCCCCATTAATCTACAGATGGTCATTCTTATCTTTTGAAGCCTTCTAGAAGCAGGGCACTCACAACTATTCCACTGGTAATCTTCTTTCTGGTAAATATATTGGGACCAAGGAAATTGTCTTCACTGCCACAGAACACCCTTTCTCGTGACCAAGCTGGCACCTGCTTACAGGACAAGGTTATTTACTGCATTGGTTCCCGGGCTTATGCTTTCTGGCTAGAAAGTCTTTGTAGCCTAAAGATAAGAATGAAACAGGCTGCTCAATGTGCATTATCATTGCCCCTTCTAGATCATCTGTAATTATGCCATGGCTGAATCTCAGAGACCACTGTGGGATGCATGTATGGTCTGAGCCACTGCTGGGACAAAGCCAGCAATGCTGTGAGTGAGGCTCCATTCTGCATCTACCCATGCTCCCCTTCTGTTTCACTGGAACAGCCTGTCTGGACAACACCATTAGTGCAGAGATGACTTGCAGATCTGATTTGAACTTCATTCCTGTTTATCCATCTCTGTGTCAGATAGCTTGGTCTGGATGTTACAACCACCTCAAATCACACACACACCTCTTCCACCCTCCCTTCACCTTCCCTCCAAAATTCCTCCTCCTCCAGTATCCCACCTCTTAGCAAGTGGGTCTCACTGTCCACACAGCTGGCCAAGGAAGACATCTGAGATTCCTTTTCAAAATATACTTCCCCCACCCCCCACGCCCTTGGTCTGCAACTCCGGTCAATGCTATCTTCCAGTGAGCTCTCATGTTTCCTCTCCCTCCAATTCCTAAGGCTCCCACTTTGCCCCAGTTCTCACAACGCCCCTGGGCTCCTGTGTCTTCCCTACACAGCACATTTTCCTCACTGCTGCCAAAAGGATCTTCCAAGGTACAGTCCAATTGTGTCCTATACCAGCTTAGAAGTCTGCATGGTGGTCTGCTTCCACACTGAGCTAACGACCAGTGTCTTCAACATTGTTCTCCAGAGCCATTTTCCTTCTGGCCCCTGCCCCCCTCTCTGCTTTCTCCACAACCCCTGGGCATGCCTCCTCTGCAGCCACAGGGACCCTCAGCTCCACATCCCACCAGGTTGCTTGCCCCTTTGAGCTTTGCCCTGAGCATCTTGGAGAGCTCTGTCCTAATTCTTAGCCTGACTAACTCCCACCTTCCCAATGTCACCCTGAGAAGTCTTCTGAGACCCCTTCCGACCCACCACCCCAACCATGAAGCGAGGGGTCCTTCCCGGACTTCTAGAACACCGTGTACACCTACCATACTATGCTGTGGTTACTGATTTTCTTGTCTCCTTCACAGAAAAGTGTCTTTCCTCTTTGCCTCACTAGTGCCTACCTAGTAGATTCTGACTTCACAGGTTTACTAAAACAAATGCAGAAGCGGTTATGCTAGGTCGTGAATGCAAAGTCAGATTCTCACCCTGAGAGACTGTGAGAATAAGTTGAAATTTTGCAAAGAGGGTTATTTACTTTCCAACGTGAGCATGGCAAGGTGTGCACACTTTTCCTTGGCACACTTATGGTTAATCCGTGAAACTCTGTGTATCTTTCATGAATTATGTATCTGCACCAATAAAAACCAGTGAAGATGAAGTTCCAGGAAGCATATATATTTTCAGAGACTAGTTCTAGTCACCTAATGTGAAGAGCATACTGAATTTGTCTCATTCAAGCATGGCATCTGTGCAGAGCAGTCCTTCAATGGATGCTTGTACCATTGGGTGGGAATGCATTGATTCTGCTTCTCCTAACATGTTCCTTTTGGTGGAGCCCCCACAACACAACAGCCTCAACAATTAAATTAAAGACTGTCACCTATAGAACTTTTATTTTTATCACATTTTTTAAGAGAATAGTCTAATATCTTCCCTGTGTATTACCTGATTTTTTGCATATTGAAAAATAAGGTTCTGTAATAAGATTCCATGTTTTCTTTATTAATTTGACCAATATGTTTGAATCATACTCTGTGTCAGGGACACTGACATAGAGTTGTCAAGCAGATATTTGGAAATGAAGGTCTGTAGCTCTGGAGGTAGGTCTGAACTGAAGACAGAAAATGGGAGAGACTAGGGCTGGGGGATGGTCCCCAGTAGAAAGATGGTGGTGGAAGCCACGGGAATCAATGCTTCTCAGTCACAAATTTGAACTAAGGTCAATTTCTGTAATTTTAAAAGATCTCCTCATTTTAAAGAGTTATTCACTTTCAATCTATTCTGAAGTTGGTGGGTCTTTATGCCTTCCTTATACTTCCTTCTTCTTACAGACTAATGCCTGGTGTTCTTGTTTGGATATATCCTCCTTGTTTTCTTTCTCCTCTTAATCCAAGACAGAGATCTAGAAAGATAATGTGCACAAATGGGTTGCAAAGTATAGTGTGCTATTCAAAATGCCACTATTACCATGACCACCATCATTATCATCACTACTACCATCATTACTACCATAACCTCCATCACCACCACCTCTATCACCACCACCCTCATCATCACCACCACTCCCTCCATCATCACCACCTCCACCATCGCCACTGTCTCCATCATCCCCACCACCTCTATCATCACTGCCACTGTCTCCATCACCATCACCACCTCCATCATCACTACCACCACACCACCTCTACCACCTGTACCACCTCTACTACCACGCCGCCTTTGTCACTGCTTTCAGTTTTATCTGTAACCCTTGCAAGCATTGTGCTATGTGGCCACTAGAGGGAGGCAGCAGCAACAGCCGTGGCTTGGTAGATCTGAGTGTCAAGATTGCACTTGGCTCTCCTAGGCAGAACTTGCTAATGAGTCCTGCCTGTAAGAAGGAAGATTTTATCTTTCTGTCTTTCACACTAACTGCATTTTCACTTTGCTTTTATGGGATAACTTTTGATAAATAACAGAATTGTGGTGGAATTATAGGCACCAAAGACTCACATATTCCTTAATAGGAATATGTACCCTCAGATTTTTCCAGAATACCAAAAACACTAAATTTAATCAGAATTTTAGTTTTCTTTTCTCCAAAGCATTCCACATGTGTTATCTTATAGTAAGTATTCAACAAGTTTGTTTGTTTTGGGTCATCAGAAGATATTATTATGATGAACATCCGCTTAAGAGATCTGGAAGCTGAGCCTGGGTGGGCTGCCCATCCTCTGAAAGATGTGGGACTCACCATCCTAGACCCTGTGCTTCCTGACTCCAGACACATGCCCTCCTCCCTGCTGAGCTGCTCCTTATAGAATGGGCAAATGCAGGAGTGATGCTATGCTGCAGCCTGAGGTGCTCACATTCAGGGCTTTCTGCACAAAGTGTCCTGGGGTGTGGTCTGGTAGAGGCCATGCTTACCCAGGAAGACACGGCCCGCACTCAGCATCATTCTCCATGTCCCCTGGTGTCAGCACGGTGGCCCGGAAGAAGCCCTCACAGTCTTTGTGACGCCTGCATATCTGGTAGCCTCCTTTGGAAAACTTCTCCGCTGGGCAGGGGACGCAGCCATAGTCCTCATCTTTGGTGCCATAACCACAGGACTGGCCAAGAAACCGGACAGAGGATACAGGTGAGTACAGCAGCCACACCCACCACGACTGGGCCTTCAGTCCTTGGGGGCACCAGCACACCAGGCACAGTGGGTGAATTGGGCACACTGCGCACAATGGGCACACTAGCTGTTTCCAGAAGCTTCTCTTGCTAGGCTTTGGCTTCCTGATCTGCCTTAACTGCAACCCCCCTGCATCTCCAACTCCAAGCTTCTTTCCCCAGTGCTTCTAGGCTTTAGACACTGCCCCTCTCCCAAGGGTTTCTGAATAAAGGCAGCCAGCTAAAGGGATAACCTGCCAGTGATGCAGCCTGTGGCATCTGATGTCCTCAGCTCTGTACAAGAACCGTGAATGCTGACACTGTGGGTGTTTTGCTCAGCACTTAACAGAACAACATAATGAGGCTTTCCCAAAGAAGAGGGGCACTGCAACACTCAGGAATCAGTATGCCATTCCTGGAGGACATCAGTCATCCTCCAATCCAGATGGCTTGAAACCTATTTGATCAAAGAAGAGTAGGAAAGTAATCATCCTCTAAAAAACTAAAATCAGGTCCTCAGAAATCTGTAACAAGTGCTCGGCCATCTCCCTTGCCAGGGAGACACCGTTTCTGTGCTCACTGCTGCTTCAACCCTTTAATTGTGACATCTGAGGACTATAGACGACTAGCCTGATTTAGCTTAGGAACCACAAGTAGAGTGACACAGATGAGGGCAACACTCATGTGATAGAGAGTGCCAGGCCCAGGCACAGCCAGCAGGGGCCTTACCAGGTAGGGCTCCTCTCCCGGGCCACACTGGGGACACTCGTGGCACAGTCCCGTGGTCTGGTTGTAGTACTCATTCTCTCCGCAGTTGGAGTATTCTGCTCTGGCTGAACACAGCAGTGACACCTGCCACAAGAAAGGGGGTCCTTTTGGCCTCTGTGCCTCCTTGGAGACACACTCAGGTGTGAGCACCCCATGCACGTGTTGCAGAGGAAGGAGTCTGGGTGTGGGGGCCTGCTACTACTACTCATGTGGTACCAAATCCTAGAAACTGCAACTAATAAACTGGGCAGGCCAACCCGCTTCCCACCAGCTGGTCTCACTCCTGCATCTCCTTTACCCCTCCATCAAAACTCCATCCCATCTTTGAGGCCTGCTCCAAACTCTCTTCACCCATGAAATCTTGCTTCCAGCCTCTCTAAGGTTATGGATGAGGCAGCCCTCTTCCTGGAGCCTCTAGAAGGGCAGGTTTCAGTCACATGCAGCTTCTCCTCTTTGGGGAGTCCCATGATGGGGGCCTGGATCTTTCTCAGCTATAGGACCACAGGCATGGTGCTCACCACATAGGCACTGGGTTACATAGACTGCAACACAAGGAAGCATTTAAAGACCCCTAGAAAGGAAGCTACTGAGGAGAAGTCTGATTTGGACCGGGTGCTGCTCAGTGCTTTGCACTCTCAAAAGAGCCTGGTGAAGCAGGTGCCGTTAGCATTAATCCCACTGCACAGCTGTGGAAACTGAGGTGTAAGAGGCCAAGGGACTGGCCTACAGCAGTGTGGAAGGTGAAGGAGCTCCCACTGAACCTTCTCCCAGGCCACACTGCAGGTGCTCCGCAGGGTGAGGGTGTACTTACCACCAGGACAGGGAGCCAGGGCATCTGCTTGCAGTCTCCCGCATGGGCCATCTTCTCCTGGGGCCTTGCCTGAAAGACACACTTCATGGCACCCCGGTGCCTGCAGGGCCTGAGCTGCCCCAGCACTGGCTGGCCACAGCCCAGCCCCCACCCTCAGTCTGGCTGCCTCCACCATGTCCCACTGGGTGTGAGGGGCCTCCCTGCAAGCGAGGCAGGAAATGAATGCACCCTAAAAGAAAAGGCAGGTTTTAAGCTGAGCCCCAGGCCACTTGGATTGACTCCATCCATGGCCCTCCCA